TGATTATTTTGTTTATTTCTTAATCGCCACCCAGAGCAGCACTTCACTAAAAAGGCGGAGTCGTTTCAATAATACGTCATTGATATATCACTCACAGTAGTATACACACACACACACACACACACATATATATATATATATATATATATATATATATATATATACATATACATCTATATATATCGCTCACAGACATAATTAAAGTCTGACATATTTCAAAGCTAAGAGAAGATGCTACAGAAGTAAAACGTACTTCATTACTTTAACTCTAAGAGTGCCAAACTGTCATGAAAGATATCCCCACTAGTGTTGCTCGCTGAAAAGGCGTTCCCAACGTTTGGCAGTCGGCAATACAGACCGCCCTGTACCGTATGCGCACGAGCACGAGGTACAGCAAGCAGTGTCGGTCGAGCGAGGCGGCGCAAGCAAGGGAAACAGCTTTGCAAGATAAGAGAGTCCAGTTGACCTTGGAAGATGTCTCTCAGAAAGAACAAATCTCCTGGTAACTTATCGGCCTTCAATTTATCTGGAGGCGGGCGTATAATTCCTGTTCAGTAGGGGGATGGAGCTCTAGCTCTCCACCCAATTTTGAGAAGAAAGTGAGCGAAACCCGTGGAAAAACTCATTTTCTAGGGTAACTTTAGGCCAAGTTTTGTAATTTTCTCTACTCATCCCGGAATTCATGTTGCAAAACTGCACGCGGCAAGAAGTCACTAGTTGAACGACATTGTAGAATAAACAGTGGTTACATTTTCGATACTAAACGTTTCAGACCGTGCTTTTGACCATCAGTGAACAAAGATGAGCAGCAAGCAAGCAATAACACCTAAAACTAAGGCACGTGAGTCCAGGAAATGCTCCGAATCTGTGCAGACACTGCCAGTAAAAATAATCACCCGAGCTTCCAGATTCTAACACCTGATGTACGGTTGTAAGCTAGGGGATGCGCAGAACACAGACAGCTAAGCCGGAGCTGAGCGGGAGGGTACACACAAGGCCTACCAGGAACAACGAAGCCTGAGTAAGGCATAAACCGGCGGGCGCCCGTGTACACAAGTAGCACAGGCGGCTAAGCCAGGGGTGCTACGAACACCAGATATTATGAACACTTCAAGCTAAGCGCATGGCTACTCGTGATCAAAATCACAACTTGAAACATCAAGTATTGACAAGATAACCTATGTTTGCTCTGTGACGCCATTTATCAGTACTTTGCAGTGTATTAAATGTCGGTAACTTAAGATAGCCTCTCTTTGCATCTGCCATTGACATCCCAATATTTTCAACCCTATCGTCGAGCGGTTGATTTCGTTTGGATTTTTTTGGGGGGGGGAGAAACTGCCCACCCCCGGACGCCCCAGCTGACAGGCTGAACCTTAAACAGAAACACGTAGCGTAAACTAATTTTCTTACTCCGAGGAAACCTCGGAACACGTTAGCGGCACTCCCAGGAGCACGGACAGGGATGCACGTTCGTTTTCATAGCAAATCAGTAAATATATTACGAGTACCTACCGCATACAATCTTCTTCATACTTTTACAGTGCGATGTTGCGGCTATGTTGAACCCAATTACATGGATGCACACAGTTCCGAAATCAATGGTAGGTGCAGGATCCTATGGGGGTGAGGGATATTTGATATTAAGGAAGTCATTAAAACACCAATAGGGACGATTTTCTGCCTACCCAACATCGCAATACTTTGTTTGCAATTGGCAATACTGCAAGTCAGCAGCACATGCAAGGGGTGCGAATTTCATGGGGCAAGATGCGTGTTTGAAACAACGTTAAGACGTCGCCATGTAGCAGGTGACGACCTTCTCCCATATCTTCTTCTCGGCACGACCCCTGTGACTTATTGCACCCGCTTGCACACCATCTAACTCTATTGGGATATCACAGCTACTTGCGTACCAAAATAAGCAATCCGGTCAATGTGGCCCTTATTAAAATTTGAGCCAACGTCCCCGAGCAGATGGTTCGGTATTTACCCGCGTCAGCTGGCTTATCCTAAGACATTTAGCTGAGCGTCGCAAATTATCTAGATACGGGTACACTCGTGATGTGGCTGAGAAAAATTGGCTGAACCACTTGTGTGCTTCATTTTTAAGTTACAATAACGCTCAAGAAAAAATCGCCCAAACATGGAAAGCAGCTGTGCATGCAAAACCCTTTGTGTGGCGTCATTCAAGTTGTAGTCGTTTTATCAGCTTTCAGCAAAACTGGACTGTTTGGGTCCCCTGGTAACATTGCCAGCTTTGATCCTCCTCCCAGTTCGGACCATTCTCACTATGTCCCTGCGCACCTGCATGAAAAACGAGTAGCAATCATTACTCTGTCGTGGCTGAGCGACGGCCGCCTTTTTTTGCTTCTGCAACACACTCGTTGATCGAGCCGATAAGATCGTCTTATCTTTAAGAGGTTTTCGCTGCCTGGGTCAATTTATTGACGAACAGCGCTCTGACATGATGAGTTAGTGCGCCGTAGTAAGCGTTGTTGTCACATAAGGTATGTATTGTATGTATGCAATGCATTCATTTACCTATCCATACCCTCCTGCAGTGACTTGCGGGTATGACTTCGCTTTGACGAAACTGCAGGGCATCGTGATCAAAGAGTGGCACAACGTGGGCTAGGACGAGGGAGAGCCATTGCACCACTTTGCAAGGAAAGCGGCCGAGGCACCTTGAATGGCTCGTTGCACGCAACTGTACGCAGCTCACTTCCTGGACGCATGAAGTAGCTGAGTGCGTCGATATCCGAAGTAATCCAGGACATTTTGAACTGCACACCCTTCAACGGTAAAGCCGTAAATAATCGTCACATTTTGACTGTTTGAACATATGTTATCCCACCTGACCACGTCCACAATACATCACACGTATCATTAACGTACGTGATGCCTGCTTCGATACGACTTCCAGGAGTTGAACGCACCCTTTCACCAATCGCCCCGCCCCTGCGAGGCCAATAAACCGCTGCCGTCCCCAGCTGTCGGTTTGTTAGACTCCGGTCACGCTTGGCAGTCAGCTGTCGGCGCCCGAGCCGGGCCCAGCGAGAACCGGGAACCAAGAACCGAGAACCGAGAACCGAGAACCGAGAACCGAGAACTGAGAACTGAGAACCGAAAACCAAGAACAGAGAACGGAAAACCGAGAACCAGGAACCAAGGACCGAGAACCGAGAACCGAGAATCGAGAACCGGCCAGTCGCTGTGAGGTCCGAAGTCCCCATTCTCGAGAAAGTCTGTCAACAGCGTGCTGGATGCCAGTCCGTGACAAGAAGTCACCTGAAAGCGATCGTGGACGGTGGTAGGTCGGCTGTCAGGAGCAAGGCACAAGTGACGGCACGCGGCTGGAAATAGCGCAAAATGAAGGCCAAACATCACTCGTCCAAGCGTTGGCCGGTGCTGTTTTAGAATGAACACTATGCGGAAGCATTCCACGCTCTGAAGTTGGACGGAGGCCGCCGAATCGTGGATTGTTGGCTGGACGGGACCTGACCTGACCTGACCTGAGACCTGAGAGGCCTCACTGCTAGGCTGGCATCCCGCTGGGTGATCAGCTGCGACTGCGGCGGACCAGCGCAAAGTGACCTGTGAACCACCGCTGTGATCCACGGTGCCTGCCAGTGTTCCGCACCAACGCTGCGCTCCACTACTTGACGGACGGACCCTGGACACCTCGGAGAGGCTAAAGGGTTTATAGGTGAGCTGGAAACCAACGCCGCTTACGTGCTCATGAGGTACATTTTTCTAAGCTAGCCAGGGAGTCACAAACAGTGCGAGGCAGTAGTTTAATGAGTAATTTTTGGCAGTAGTTTAGTGTGGAGCGCTTGGTACCCAATTCATGAACCTCAGCAGTGTCAAATGAATTCGGGTGGGCATCGCCGTCAAATCACGCTTTTGGCGGCGGAAAATATCCTTCGCTGAAGAAAAACCGCACGTAAAATGGGATCAAAACGTGGTGACGCCAGTAGTTCCATATGTTCTTTTTTGTCATGTTGTCTTCATTTTGTCGGCCATTTTGTCTTCATGGCCAAGTGCTAAGTTGAAGGCAGTAAAACAGGGCTGTCGTGTATTTGAAGAGCACCAAGTCTGAACACAACCTAGCAGCGATAAATAACATTTTAATGTTTTCTGAGCGTACACACAAACAAGCCATGGTAGCGATGACAAGTAAAGCGAGACACAGCCCAGCTTTTATTGCTTATCACTGATCCTCCGCACGGCGTTTTTGCGACAGATAATATGTCGAGTTTTTGGAACAATGGACCGTACTGGCCGATGCATCGCAGGCATAGCACAATCTGGCGTTGATCATTCAGGGACCACGGTACTTTTTGTCTATTGCTGATCATGCCATTTCCGAAATTGATTATCTGCGCCCATTGTCTATCAACGCTATCATTTTTTGGTTATCACCTAACTCTTTGCCCACACCCACCTTACGTGCTTCAGCTAGCCTGCCCTGGGACAGCCTGATCCTTTTATATCTGATGATTACCGTTTTCTTTTCAGGGCCAGAAGAACTAAGCGAGACCGGCGTACAGAGCATTATCAGATAGTTTGCCTGTAAAACCCAGGCAGCACTTTGTCCATTTACTCGGAATATCTGGCTGCATTTGTCGGCAAAAGTCGAGACACTCCTAGCCACTGACACGTTTAACGCTCAAAGCACTGTCCCACCCTTGCTCATGTCATTGGTCCAAAGGCTGCTGCCTCCCTATGCACGGAAACAGCTGGGCCTCATCACCATCCACTGAAGCTATTGGGTTTTGCTCACCATCGTAAGTGAATCTCTGCTCTGCTCCCTGTGTGGACAGCTTCGAGATTCAGCCAAACGCGACCTGCAGCGTGCCTTGGCTGCCCTTGCCTCAGCCGCCCCAGTAGCCGCCCTAGCTTCTCCCTAGCAGCCACCGCCAACAGCAATGGGGTCAAAATACATGGCTATCGCGAAGAACCTGAGGGTGTTAACCGCTGGATTGCTTGGTTTGGCCATGTTCAAACCACTGGATAACCCCAACAAAATCAACCACGACAAACCCATCAAGGATGTCTACGACTTCATCATCGGTGAGTGCACTCGGGGGGGGGGGGGGGGGGGATCGGGTCAATTCCCACCGCGTCCAGAACTTTCAGTTACCCGGTTTCCGCGGCAGAGTGTGGCTACAGAAGGGTCCTAGCTGTTTGGGGCTTTATAAATGACGTGACAGTTTTGATTTTTTGTTTTGTTTTGGCTTCGTGTCCTGTTTGGTTATACCAGCAACGACCAGAACAGAAAACCCGAATGCAAATGATCAGGCAGGCTGTGGTTCAATCCACATCAAACCCGCGGTCGGTTGTCCGCGTCAAGCCATGGCGTTCACATTCGTATTCGTCGTCAGCTGTCGTTGGGCACGTGCACCAAAACGATGAGCGCAATTTCTGGCATGAAATCGATGACAAGTCAACCGAGCACAGAACATATCACGTTCAAAGGCTTGGAATGCATGACGCGCTAAGGATTCCTGTGCTCCTACCGCTGCCAGTGCTATTGCACCATTGCATGCCACTGCACCGTCCATTCTCTCGAATGGGCGGTGCAGTGATGCAGTGGTGCAGTGGTGATCGACGCCTGGTGCTCGTGGCTCTCTCCCCAACTTCCAAAACCCTGTTTTTGAGAATTTTTGCGTTTGAAAGTAAATTTTTCCGTTTAAAAATTTGATTAGCAGCATTGTTTTGTCACAGCCCGGTCATCAAAAGCGAGTCAAAAGCGAGCCAAATGACAACCATTCTACAGTTACGAGTGGTACGGTCGATCAATACTGTTCTCCGCGCACCAACGAAAACCATACTACAGTTACGAGTGGTGTGGCTGACCACTTCTGTCCTCTGCTTACTAACGCAAGAGATATGTTAAGTGTCCTACATTAACACACACCATCGCTTCTCATGTAGCAAATTCCTTAGGCACAATGTCGGACAACTGACATTCATCGCGTTTGGTCACAGCCAATTAAACTCTTGCATGCACCCGATCACGACACTCTCTCCATTACCACACGCCGAATCGTTATTCAATGTGGGGTAGGGGCACGTTTTTCACTTGGGTCAAGCTTGCCGCCGAACCGGTTGAACCGGCTGATCAGCTGAGACAGTCTCCATGGAAAGCTTTCCGTGCTTGGACGTCCAGTCGGCCTACTTAAGTGCAGTAATCTTGTTCAGATCAGTATTGCGAGAATCACACATGACATAATAACTCGAGAAAGTTGTTGAGTGCACTTGCGAGGTACACTATGCATGTAGATAAGACAGATATAATAGCCCTATTTCTCATTGAAAACCAGCACAATGGAGAGATAGAAGCGTTGGTTCTTCGGCAATATGCCTTTATCGAAATTAAGATCAGTAGTAATTTCGGAATTGCCTGCCGACCCTGCTCGATTCCTTAGGATTTTTAACAGTTTTTAAATCTTTCCATTCCCCTGTTTTTTCTACGATGAAAAAGTCTATTACTGCTGTGTTACAACTCGAATAATGTCAACAGCTTACGAATTTATAGCAAGCGCTAACAATGCTAACATGTAGCGCCTACGCGCAGACGCGAAGAGGAAGCCATGACATTCAAGAATGCCTGGTGTATGCAGCTGATGTATGCTAACAATTTATAAAGTACATGGATGACACAAATGCATAAGTCACTCGTGTTTGTCAGCGGTTCACGGTCCTTCATGACGCTCAGCGGTTTACGTTTCTCCGCGACGTTCAGTGGTTTACGGTCCCCCGCGACGTTCGGTGGTTTAAGGTCCCCCGCGATGCTCAGTGGTTTACGATCTCCCGCGCCTAGTGGTCTGCCGCCGCTAAGTGGTCTACAACCCCCCACAACACTCAGCAGTTTGAGGTCCCTGCGACGCCCAGAGGTTTACGTTTCCCCTCGACATTCAGCGTGTGAGATTGTGACACTAGAGGAAGCCAAGACACTGAAATGATATTCGAATGCAAAAAACACAAGGTCATATATCTCAAAACTTTTACATGTGTTTTCAGGATCTATTGGCAGGTGAAGCTGTAGTCGGCGTGCACGTGTCTCCCAGACCTGTGACAAGTCACTTTTATCACGTTAGGTGTGTCCTCAGGCCTGTGACTCGCATGTGACATCTAGACTTTAATTGGCGACCTTTGACCACTGTGCTGTGATTATTTCCTTACAGCTATGACTTAGGTGCGACCTATAATTATTTTGAACACGAATCGTTCTGGCTCGTGCCCTGCCGCTAACGCTATGTGACTTACAAGTTTTTTTGGAGACCTATGACCTGTGATCTGTGACCTCTAATTGTTATTGTCATGACTATGATCTCTGAGTTGACCTTAAACTCCAATCAAGGATCTTCAGGCGTCCACCGCGACCTGTAGCACGTGACATGCGTGCCTTACAGCCTCCAGCACCTCCCCTGACATCAAATCCTCGTTCGTGACCAGCGAGCCCGAGACACCTGACATTTGACCCATGTCGTGACCTCTGACCTCTGACCGATGCACGCGTGCCTGCGGCCAGTCGGCGGCGGCACGGCGGGCGCCGTGCTTGCCGCCCGTCTGTCGGAGGACCGGCGGAACTCCGTGCTACTGCTGGAGGCTGGCGACGTGGGCACGGCCTACACTGAGTGGCCCATGTTCACCAACCTGGTGTACGGCTCCAGTCGCTACGACTGGCGCTTCGTCAACGTCAAGGACGACGGGTACTGTGTCGGACTTCGCGAGGAGGTAGGCGAATGAGAGAGGTCTTGATAGACTGAATTGTCATGCTCCGGTGCAATACAGTTTATCACTTTTAAATTAAATCGGACCATTGGGCCGTATTTTCACACTTTTATTTCCAATACCCCACTGCTGTATATATTTCATGCAAATTTTCGAAATGTTTTTTAGTTATTGTATTTTTCCAAAAGCCTATTATTTTTATTTTTCCGAAATAGGGGTTTTCCGCAATTAAGATTTTTCTGAGTGCAGTTTTGGAAGGGTCAACGGACGTTGTTGCGTGCTTCGCATGAGCCGATCACATTTATGGAATATCTTAGAGATAACGCAAAATTCATCGTGTGTCGGCACATGCGTCGTTTCTTAACTTATCTTGAGATTCTCGAATCCAAGCCAATCCAGTCGTGCTGGCCATCATGTAATCCAGCCATTCTTATTGCCTTCCTGGATTTAGCATTCAGTCCAGTCCAATCCTTGGCGTTATCAAATTTGCTGAGCTCTAATGGACTGCCATGTTTATGAAAATGGTGGAAGGTGGCTGGGGGCTGGGGACACAGACAGCACCCCCTCATTCGCCATGAAAGCTGACTTTTACCCTAATATGATGTTAATAAAAATTTACCTCCGCATGGGTTTTGTCCCTGCATGCTTCTCAATTCGTACACCCTCGCATGATGCTGACTTATGCATGGGCCGAGTCTGGCACATGGCGATTAGCGTCGAGTCGTCTAGAGCGGGCTAGGAGCTTTGAACATGTGTCGGCATCGATTCTTTGACAGCGAAACCATTCCCCGGCCTCACTTCACCAGCGTCGGACGCTGTCACACTGTTGCGCCGACCAGCGTTGAATATAATATCGTTAATACCAGCGTTGTTGAATATAATATCTTTAACAAACAGCAGAACGCTTGTGTGGCATAGGGTGCATGGCGTTATAGAAGATGAGAGTTTTTGTCGTGCCTATGATTCCCAAACTAAAATGAATGCAGGTAGATGCGTTTCGAAACTCATCGCAAATGGCTGTTGTCAATGCATTAAGTGCTAGTCCCTATAGCTATTTTGTAAACAGACATTCACTACCGCACACATACTGTTCTATTACCAAGTCTTGAGTGGCATCGATTGCAAATTGGTTGGATGCTAATCCATGGCCATTTCAGTGGAAAAAATGAATGCATTTGGGGTGGTTTTCGACGACCGCTATCAAAGCATCAGAACAGCGGCATATTGGTTGGACATTGTCCAAATGAGCTGGACTATGCGCCTGTGTAGTTTTCATGCCATACCGCTCTCAGCCAGGATGTGAAATTGCTGCTGGGAGTATATATTGCTATGGGTCAGACAAGAATGACATCGCAGTGATACGATCGCAGTGATGAGATTGCTTAGTGAGTGGCCGCAGGCGCATTATTTGTCTACCTCGAATTTGTCACCGTCACCGTGTCATCTCGTGATTAGCAGATCTTCCTTCCCCATGTTAGTCGAATAACGCAGCATGAATTGTTCACATTGCATCGTTACAGCCTACATAACACAAAGTCACGCAACTTGTAAATAATTACCGTAGCATCCCAACAGCACCGCTTAAAAGCATTGTGCGTTTGTTGCTGGAAGCTGCAGGAAACTGAGACCAATGCATTCGAAGTTGTTATATCCTAGAACGTGTGGCGCATGGCCAGGCTGGCTTGGGCCGCTGAAGCCGCATTTTTTCCAACCGCTTTTCCTAAATTGTCCTAAATTGTCCTAAATTTTCTTTGGCGAAGGCACACCATTGCAAAAACTTCTCAGGGGTGGACCACGTAATTACGTGTGCATATTTGCATGTCCATGTGCTTGTTGACCGATATGCCCGACGTGCGTGGACCGTGTCCAAGCTCTTTACAAGCGCTCAAATAAAAAAAGCAACGTTGATGTGGTCAGAGCGCGTACTCAATCTAGAATATCGGCAACGCGGAATTTTACCCTCGTCTTTGTCCGCTTTTGGTTAAAGTAACGGCCACTTCCACAATCCTCGTGTCGAGCCCAGTCAAAATGGCCCTCATCGTCAGATTTAATGGTCCCTACTAGAAAAGGCTATAAAAAACCATGGCTCCTAACTTCAATGGCGCTGATAGTGAGACGCCGGGCAAGCACAGTGTCGCTGAGGACGAGGCGGTGGAGATTCCCGAGCGTAGCAATCGGGGCACGTGCCTTTCAGACCTGTAAGCTCTCGCGTGGGAAGATGCTTGGCGGCATGTCAGCCTTCGGTCGTCTGATGTACGTGCGAGGCAACAAGAACGATTTTGACCTCTGGGAGCAGCGGGGCAACGCAGGCTGGGGGTACAGGCACGTGCTGCCCTACTTCATCCGCTCCGAGGACAACCAGGACCCCCATCTGCGGAGGAGCCGTGAGTAGCCCTTCACCAGAGAAGGTGATGCTGGTGTGTATGGATCCCAGGCTTTTCGGGTCTTAGTGGAGTTACTTAGCAGTTTCCGTCTTTGTTGGCTTCCGGGTCGGCTATCATGCTATCTATATGATGCTAGTCAGCTATCGTACTCAAGTATCTGTATTCCTTCAATGAACTGGAGCGAGCTGTCAACGTCGTCATGATGCCTATTTTTGCTACTTTTGCTATTGTTTGTGACGTACACATTTCAGCGTACCACGGCGTGGGAGGCAGCCTGAAGGTATCGAACCCACGACACGTGACCAGCTTAGCTCCGATCTTCCTGAAGTCGGCTGCCGATGTCGGCTTCCACATCGGGGACATCAACGGCGAGAGCCAGTCTCGTAAGCTACCTCTGCAGTCGGAGTCGCAGCCAGGGACAGTGCAGGAGTGCATGTATTGATGGGGTGAACTGGGAGGTGGGCATCAATGGCTCGTCCAAAACTGTCGTAATTATTTTTGTCGGTGTCATTGCTCGATAGATTTGGCGCGAGGGAGACATGGATCGGGCAGCATGCAGACGAGGACACTGGACAGCGCCGATATGTGTAATGGCTAGCGGTGGCTGGATGAATATTCCCGCATTTATTGCGCTGACTGGCAAACGGCCCAGGGTTTCTCATTATCCAGCCTCCAGCTCCGACACAGTCCTGTGATTCACGTTATTAGCGTTGTGCGTTGTAGCAGTGCAGATGGAGAAAACGAAGATGTGATTCGTGCCTACTGCGCGCACATTGACATGCATACATGTATTTCATGAACGTAATGCATAACTGCGCGACTTTTGGTGTAGGTACGCACAAAGACACGCATGTGCAGCAGACAACGCCCTGCAAAACCAGCGATGAGGAATTCATCAATCGTAACCCTGACAACCGCCAAAGCCAACCGCAGCCTCGCCCGGCAGGGTTCATGCTGCACCAGACAACGACCCTGAACGGAATTCATCAATCGTAACCCTGACAACCGCCAAAGCCAACCGCAGCCTCGCCCGGCAGGGTTCATGCTGCACCAGACAACGACCCTGAACGCCGAGCGGTGGTCGACGGCGCGTGGCTTCCTACGCCCAGCCTCTCACCGAGACAACCTCAACATCGTGGTCAGGGCGCACGTGACGCGCGTCATCATCGACCCGCGGACGCGCCGCGCCAAGGGCGTGGAGTTCTTCAAGCACAAGAAGCGGCGCGTGGCGTGGGCACGCAAGGAGGTGGTCGTCAGCGCCGGGGCCTTCCAGTCGCCGCATCTGCTGAAGCTGTCCGGGGTCGGACCGTGTAACGAGCTGAAGAAGTTTGGGGTGAGGGAGAGCTGGAGCCGGGGACGGGGTGCAGGAGAGCTGGGGATGGGACGGGGTGAAGGAGAGCTGGGGCTGGGGACGGGGTGAAGGAAAGCTGGAGCTGGGGACGGGGTGCAGGAGAGCTGAGGCTGGGGACGGGGTGAGTGAAGGAGAGCTGGGGCTGGGACGGGGTGTAGGAGAGCTGGGGCTGGGGACGGGGTGAAGGAGAGCTGGGGCTGGGGACGGGGTGCAGGAGAGCTGGGGCTGGGGACGGGGTGAAGGAGAGCTGGGCTGGGGACGGGGTGAAGGAGAGCTGAGGCTGGGGACGGGGTGAAGGAGAGCTGGGCTGGGGACGGGGTGAAGGAGAGCTGGAGCTGGGGACAGTGAGGGAGAGCTGGAGCTGGGGACGGGATGAGGGAGAGCTGGAGCTGGGGATAGTGAGGGAGACCTGGAGCTGAGCCGCACTCGCAGTCGTCTTTGAGCTGTGATCTGTGATGATTTCGTGAACTGTGCGCTGTACTTCTCTTTCTCTCTCACCCTCTCCTTCTCTCTCTCCCTCTCTCTCCCTCTTTCTTTCTCTCTTTCTCTCACTCCACATCTACATCTTCCTCAGAATCAGAATCTTTATGTGCCTTCGAAACCGCCCGTTACCTTTCCGCGAAAACTACTTTACTGAATTTGCCTTTCACGCGTACTTCATTTTACCGAAAAAGAAATGCCACTGTCTGTACTCCGCTCTCACGGCGGCCACACCCACAGCCACAGCCACAGCCACAGTACAGCCACAGCCACAGCCACCGCCACCGCCACCGCCACCGCCACCGCCACCGCCACGCCACAGCCACAGCTACGGCCACAGCCACAGCCACAGCCACCGCCACAGCCACAGCCACAGCCACAGCCACAGCCACAGCCAAACACGGCAGTCTCGCCACCACCAATGCTTAGCTGCCTTCGCAGTGAATCGACAGCCCCAATACCGTCGCCGGCAGGTCCGTCTCGCCCGTCGCCGACACATCCGTCTCCCCCATTGCCGACAGATCCGTCTCCCCGTCGCCGACAGATCCGTCTCCCCGTCGCCGACAGATCCGCTGTTTGCACGACCTGCCTGGGGTCGGTGAGAACATGCAGAGCCACTTCGGTCTCGGTGGAGTTGACTTTGTCCTGGACAAGGGCGCCGCCGAAGACGTGAAGGACCTCTTAAGCTGGAAGAGTATTAACAAGTACATCTATAAGAGAGAAGGTGGAGTTACAATTTGCTGACGTTTGCTGTGGGCCACAGATGCCGGCCACATTTTAGTCTATGAAACGGATGGCATTAGAGAACAAGGCAACGTCATGTGAGACCACTTTTACAGTAGCTTCTGCAAGATGTTGGAATTAATCGCTGGAATTTGTATCGGTTTTAAGGGCGAAATGAGCCCAGTGCATTGCATCATTTTTACGAATGAACATGAGTGAGTTTATGCATTGTGTTCACACACTTTTTAGACGTCAACACCGTGAACACTAAACTCATCAGTAATTTCCTATCTAGCCACCTCTAACCACACATGACACTCCCCTGCCACTCCCACCAGGCTTGCTGACCTCAAACATACCGACCTTACGCAAACTGATCCCCAACATGCTGCCCTCAGGGCTGCTGACATCTAACATGGCTCTGGAGGCGACTGGGTTCGTCAGCTCCCGCATCAACAACGACAGCTACCACATGGACTGGCCGGACCTGCAGTTACTCTTCCTGCCGGAGCAGCTGGCCACCGATGGCGGCAAGTTTGACCGTAATCGAATCGGCATCTCCAAGAAGGTACGGCAGTGCCATCTATACAGCCGGTAGCGCTATCTATACGCGTGGGTTCTGCTGTGGCGTCCTCGGTACTTCGGGACGGAGCTTCATTGAGTCCTCGGTTGGGGTGGGTGGAAGCAGTCAGGCGGGTCCCCGCTGTCCCATCTGTCCCCGCGCCCTTAAGGAGTGGCCGCAGCCGATATTTTCTTCACGTATGTCGAGCTTTCTTGCAGCTAAAAGTTTTCGGCGACCCTTTTCTAGTGATTGGGACTTATTAGTGGGGGAAGGGGAGGGAGACGAAAAAAATGGGGACGAGGCCGCACCCACGGGGACTCTAAGCTCTACCCATTCCGTGTATATATATATATATATATATATATATATATGTGTGTGTGCATAATTTATATAGTATATATGTATATATATATATATATATATATATATCTAATGAAACAAAGAAAATATAAAAAGTATGTATCAAAAATACAACAACATCATATACCGGGTATCATTTATCATAGCGAGTAATCATATACCGGGTAATCATATATCATATACATATGGCTAAGTTGTCTGTATACTTAGCGCCACAAAAGTTGCAGTGGCGCCGTCTATAGTCATTATTCCATAAGTTATAGTTACTGATACAGTTCTGTCAGCAGATGTTACCACCATATCTGCTTCCATACGGACAGCCCTCAAGTCATCGTGGCGCCATCTATATGCGTGCCCGCCAGTTACGGCGAAGCAGTGTATGTAGGGCAAGTAAAGGTTACGGTGTCGCCATTCAGAGTGTGTCGCGCAAGACGCGATTGGCGCCATGCAATAAACCACCACGTGACCCCCCCCCCCCCCCGTCTTCCGTCTGCAGCTGTGGAAGCGCTTCGCGCCGTACAAGGACAAGCCGGGCTACAGAATCGTGCCTGTCAACCTGCGTCCTCGCAGCAGGGGCCGCGTCCTCCTCCGCTCCGGCAACCCCTTCCAGCACCCGGACATCTTCCTCAACCTCTTCGACGACCCGCACGATCTGGCGGTGCTGCGCGAGGGCGGCCGCCTGGCGGAGAGGATCGGACTGGCACCGCCGTTTCTCCGCCTCGGCGCGCGGCTCAACAACGAGAAGAACCCGTTCTGCTATCGACACCCGGCCGGCGGACCCGACTGGTGGGACTGTCGCTCGCGGGTCTTCCCCGAGAGCATGCTGCAGGAGACGAGCACGTGCGCCATGGGGCCTCCCGACGACCACTACGCCGTGGTGGACAATCAGCTGAGGTGAGTGCGGCGGCCGGGCAGGCGAGGCGCGGTGGACATCCGGCTCAGGTTGTCTGGCTGTCCACCACGGCTGTCAGCTACCTGTCAGGCGTTTGGTCGTCCACCACGGCCGCTTATTACCTGTCAGTTGTATGTTTGTCCACCTCGTTGTTGTCAATTGCCGCTGCTGCTTTTGACACCCGCCCCGGGTAAACCAGCTGACCTGACCTGACCCCGGGTCGCCTCCGGCAGGGTGTACGGCGTGAGCGGTCTGCGGGTGGTCGACGCTTCCGTCATGCCGACCATCACGTCCGGGGACGCCATCGCCGCCACTATCATGATCGCAGAGCGAGCCGCGGACTTCATCAAGGCTTACTGGTACGCGGTGCACAAGGGCGTGGATCCGGCACATTACGTGAGCCACCACCTGCTCCAGCCTCATTACGTCCACGGGGACGGACATGGCAAGCACGTGGAATACGTGGAACGCACAGATCACGTGGAGCACAAGAAGCCCGAGGAGCGCATAAAGCTTGACGAGCACGTGGAGCCTGAGGAGTCCAAGCAGCAGGAGGAGCTCGAGGAACAGGAGTCCGAGGAGCAGGAGGACCAGGAAGAGCACGCGGCTGCGACTGGTCCTGCCGAAGTGGAAGAGAATGATGTCGTTGATGGTGACGACCCTCCGCATGCCGTTGAGGTCGCCGCGGAGAACGAAGCGGAGAAAACAGCTGAGACCAATGCGCTAACTGAGGAGGCTGAACGGGGTGAGGAGGATGATGAGGATGAGTTGGGAAAGATGACGGGGACCGATTATGAGGACGCAAAAGAAGTGGATGGCCATGTGCCGCAACTTTTGGGTGGGGTGGAGGAACCAGTTGGTGGTGATCCCTGGCGCGATGGGGGCCAAAACGAGCCTGGAGGTGACTATGAACCACTTGGTTATGAGAACAGCAAAGGTGAATTTAGGGATAAAAGGGATCCACCGGAACGTGGGGAGGATGAGCTGGGAAAAATGATGGGGGCGAATTATGAGGACGCAAAAGAAGTGGATGGCCATGTGCCGCAACTTTTGGGTGGGGTGGAGGAACCAGTTGGTGGTGGTTCCTGGCGCGATGGGGACCAACACGAGTTCAGAGGGGACCATGAACCACTCGGCTATGAGAACCGAGAAGATGAATTTAGGGATAAAAGGGATCCACCGGAACGTGGGGAGGATGAGCTGGGAAAAATGCCGGGGGCAAATTATGAAGACCCAAAAGAAGTGGATGGCCCTGTGCCACATCTTTTGGGTGGGGTGGAGGAGCCAGCTGGTGGTGGTTCCTGGCGCGATGGGGGCCAAAACGAGTTTGGAAGTGACTATCAACCACTTGGCTATGAGAACGGCGAAGGTGAATTTGAAGATAAAAGAGAGTCACCGGAGCGTGGGGAGGATGAGCTAGGAAAAATGCTGGGGGTATATTATGAGGAGGCAAAAGAAGTGGATGGCCATGTGCCGCATCTTTTGGGTGAGGCGGAGGAGCCAGCTGGTGGTGGTTCCTGGCGCGATGGAGACCAACACGAGTTTGGAAGTGACTATGAACCATTTGGCTATGAGAACGGCGAAGGTGAATTCGAAGATGAAAGAGAGTCACCGGAGCGTGGGGAGGAGGAGCTGGGAAAAATGATAGGGGTAAATTATGAGGAGGCAAAAAACGTGGATGGCCACGTGTCACATCCTTTGGGTGAGGTGGAGGAGCCAGCTAGTGGTGGTTCCTGGCGCGATGGGGACCAACACGAGTTTGGAGGTGACTATGAACTTCTTGGCTATGAGAACCGCGAAGCTGAATTTGGAGATAAAAGGGGTTCACCGGAGCGTGGGGAGGATGAGCTGGGAAAAATGATGAGCACGAATTACGAGGACGCAAGAGAAGTGGATGGCCATGTGCCACACCTTTTGGGTGAGGTGGAGGAGCCAGCTGGTGGTGGTTCCTGGCGCGATGGGGGCCAACACGATTTTGGAGGTGACGCTGAACCACTTGGCTATGAGAATGACAAAGGTGAATTTGGGGATAAAAGGGAACCACCGGAGCGTGGGGAGGATGAGGTGGGAAAAATGATAGGGACAAATTACGAGGACGCGAGAGAAATGGATGGCCAGAGGCCATATCTTTCAAGTGTGGTGGAGGAACCAAATGGTGGTAGTTTCTGGCCCGATAAGAGTGAGCACGAGCTTGGAGTTAGGTTTGAGTCTTTCGGCTATGAGAATCACGAAGATGAATTTGAGGATTATAGGGTTTCGCCAGAACTAACCGATTCTGGTGAGGCAGACTACGGCAGCGATGTCGGTGATGCTCACAAAGTCGGCGCAAATGTGAATCACGGTAGCCTTTTTTCAGGGGGGTCACGGGAGTCTTTCGGCTATGAGAATCACGAAGATGAATTTAGGGATTATAGGGTTCCGCCAGAACTAACCGATTCTGGTCAGGCAGACTACGGCAGCGATATCGGTGATGTTCACAAAGTCAACGCAAATGTGAATCACGGGGGTCACATAGATCCCTTTTTCGGAGGGCGCCGTGGGGGAAGTGATGTAGGCAAAGAGATCCCCAGCCCGCACCTGTTTAAGCCGGAAGAGGAGGTTTTAGAACGACCTTTCGCCGATGAAGGAGACTGGAAGGACGAAGTGACCATCTTGAATGGCGGGGAAATTTTGAAATCCAGCTCCCGGCCACAGGCGGTTTTCGATGATAAACGCATTTCGTTCCGTTTTGCCGCGAGGAGCGGTCCTGCTGAAGCCGGGGCTTTTAAGCACGCAGTCGAAAGTGTGGAAGAAGACGATGACTATTTTGACCAAACGGGGGGATTAAGTGAAGATGAGCTGTCTGCGGCAGAAAGTGTCAGTCACATGAGGGTTTTCCGAAAGCTCCCAGGGGGCAGTAACAACGGCGACTCTCCTGCCAGGAATGATGACGTTGCTAGTGACAGCGAGACCCGCATTCGAAGATGGAGAGCCGGTAGTGTACGTGTTAGACTAAGCAACTCAGGGGAGCACACGCCAAGGCCAGCCAGAACCCACCCCGGCCGTAATTTGGGCTCGTTCCGGAGGGGACGAAAACGCAAGCAGTCGCTTCCAGTCCGGTCAACAAACACGGAAACGCACAGCGGACGGTATGAAGGGCTTGGACAGGCGGCTGGAAGTCTGCCTGACGATGTTGTTGATGATAGCGAATGGAACCAAGATGGCCTCGATTCGGCCGTTGAGGCGGCTGTGCAGTTCGGCAGCAAGATCGGTGGTAAATAATGGGTCCGATTTTCCATAGCATTTGCTTAAGTGTATTTGCTAAGACCTGTCCTCTGCTACGTAGGTTCACTTTTGTGCCTGTTCAACTTTTTAATCATGCTTCCACGATCTGTTTTGCACGCTCTCTTTCTCTCTCTCTCTCTCTCTTTCGCTCTCCCCTCTCCTTCTCTCTCTCTCTCTCATCTCTCTTCTCTCTTTCTTCTTCATCTCTCTCTCTCTCCCTCATCTCTCTCTCTCCTCTATCTCGTCTCTCTCACTCTCTCTCTCATCTCTCTCTCTCTCTCTCTCTCCTCTCTCTCTCGCTCTCTCTCTCTCTCTCTGTCTCTGTCTCTTTCTGTACTGCCCTTTTCCTTTCTCTCATTCTCCCTGCTGTGGTTCTCCCTGTGCCTTTCTTTTCTTCAGGTGTATTTTTTGTCTTTTTCCACTAATGCATGTTTATTTACTTTCCATGCATGCACATCTATATGAGAGACAAATAAACCGATTACATATGGCACAATCGCGGATGAAAAATTGCAAACAACATGCCAAGAAGTACATAAAGAAAGCTTGACTAACTCTGTTATTAAATCGTGGACGATATGGGAAACATTCCCAGCCACTTTACTCTAAATAGTGTTAAACGGCATATCTTTCCTTGCTCTACTCTGTACGTGCTTTAGCAAACCAAAAAGAAAAACGGACGCTCGATTTTTACAGATAATTGATAATGCTTGGCTTTACTTAAAAAAAATCGACAGAGAGATATTCCCCGGTAATGATGGCCCATAGAACAGACGGTGGTAGCTCACAAGTAAGTTCGGAAGTTCTTGGCTCTCAGACGAATATTTAGATTCAAAACACTCTTTGGCACAAATCACTCTCCTAGACTGTAATCATAGCAAGTACTGTCGAGTGCCGTTTCTGTACAGTAATGGTCTACGTCTCCCCCCGCCTCTAGAATTTAGCAATTTTGCCAACGTGACATATCTGTCCTTGCGTGATACCTTAGCCAACTGGTGGACATTCTCTTCCCACACTTGCGTGAAAGCATTATGTGTTGGTGAGCCTAACATGTGTAAATATTATGATGATGGCGCGTGCAAAAGATATGCTTGGCTCCAAAGACTATTGCGGCTTTTTAAACTTGGGGATGTAATACATTTAGCATTTAGCATTTCATGTCTCCCTAAGCTTAGGCGGTCGCCGCGCTTATCTCACTTTTTCTGAGCAAGGAGCTGCTCGAGGAGTGGATAAAACTGTGTGCTATCTCCATCTCCAGAATGTCGTGCATGACTTGCAGGACAGCTCCTACCGCTCCAAATGAGTGATAGAAAACGAAATGGATAGATGGAAGAGTTGAGAATGACTGGATAAAGATGGAGATTGAAGAATAAAGTCCAAAAACCTGCTTGAGGTCTCCATTTATAAAGCCTGCTCAGCAGTTTTAAAAAGCCTGTGTCGTGCATGTTTACTTAATTACTGTCCTGCTGGTTGTGGTGTACACATTTGCACCCAATGAGGTGCACTGGATACGATGGTGCGTGCCCTTATTGCGTCATCTTGAGGAATATCCGTCGCTCAATGTCTTTCAGCATCTTAATTTTGTGTTTTATCAGTAGATTCTTATTGTCCGTTTGCCTTGCCAAGACAGTGACTTTGAATGCCCCAATGATGTCTCAATACATGTTTGACTTGTTTGTACACTGAATGGAACTGGAACACTGCTTGAAAATTGACACGGAAAGGAACACCCATATACTACCTGCATTAATCCAGCGCTTAGCCGGGATAGGGAGGCACATTTCGCAACGAGACATTCAGAAATCCCAACAACGATACGAAGAGCATAGTTCTGAATCTTCAGCAAGAGTCGCCAGCCAACATGGTGGCCTCAGAAATGTCTATGAAGACACGAGTGCCTCGCGACCAAATAATGGAAATTTGTCACACGACCCACTAACCACTGATCCTAATCAGGGAGACACAACCATAACTTGTGTTGCTCGGAAATGCAGAACGCAAGGAAATTACGTGGACCTTACTTAGCCGTGCGCTTTGATAAGGTAAAACTATACGGGAAATTCTCTGTTTATTTAACGAAAAAACCAGCCTCCATAGCAAAGTACTTGCGCATGCTTTGGGACATTCCCAGCACCATATTTTTCATCACAGCCGGTGGGATACGAGTCTGTCTTTTTGGACGTTGAATTCTCCTGCCAGCTTGTCGACGCTGGAGGCTGGTGTGACATCTATAACTTTTTTCCGGACGACAGACCACACATTTCCATCAATTTAAGGTTTGGAGTTTTGTCAAACCCTCTTTTCGACACTGCTGGCGTAAGGGGCTTGTGTGCAATTTCCATCTATTTTTTGTTGCAGAATGAGGGGATCTGGAGAATAAGGGTCTTGCGTGGGACGGGTCGCTTCTCGAGCCGTGATATTCACAATATCGTCAAGATTATTTGGTGCTGGCACACGGTAGCAGCGCAATGCCATTTTGCCGATCCAAATAGCACGAGATGGGACTCGTCTAGCTACAACACCTGTTTCCAGTCTCCATTGGTACTCCTTTGGCTCTC